CACTCTTGAGCTTCACTCCTGAAGTTCCCTCAAGACTTGTTATGCCAGCAGGGGACAGGTGAACCCTGTCGTGCGATGGCTGCCTTACTATTAATAACACTCCATCTTTTATTCTCTTTCCCCATTTTAGTTTCTTTTTCTAATTTTAAATTCATTTTAATAATCATTATTGAAAGGTTTTAGTGAGTGATTTATTTACTGTTTTTACTGGAGTGTTGTACTACACCCAGAGTCACTTTCTGTGAAGTGAGTAGCCATAGAAATCTTCTAAATCAATAACTAACCTCAAAAACTGCATGGTCATGGCTATGCTGGCTGCGATTATGAGATTTGAAGTCAAATGAATATGGATAAGACTTAGTTGGGAAAGGCTATTTTAGATCATCCAGTAGTGACCAGAGCTGATGGATTGGAATGATCAAAGCCCACCCATCCCCAGTCTGCTTTCTGGTGGGCCGATAACAAATGCCCAAATCAGAGCTTTTGTTTGATCAGTTTTCCCAGTTCTCCTGTGTCTAAGAATGTCTATGCTAATCTTCTATTAGGAGCCGAGGTGGCACAGTGGTTAGGGTGCAGTACTGCAGGCCACTTCAGCTGACTGTTATCAGTTCAGCGGTTCTAATCTCACTGGCTCAAGGTTNTGTGTGTGTGTGTGTGTATATATATATATATACACACACACACACACACACACACACGCACACACACACACACATAGTTCATCTCACCTTGCCTATCTACATATCTACCTAAGGTAAGCAAGTAAAGGAAAGGGAAAAGAAAAGAGGGAAGAAAAAAAAGAAAAAGAAAAAAAGAAAAAAAGAAACAGTATGAAGCTAGATTACTAAATTATTAGATTATTACTGGCTTTGTTTTACTTTCTCTGTTTTACTTTCTCTGTCTGCAGTCAGGAAGCAAATTTTGCAAGATCAGTCAAGTGCCGGGCAAATACCACTCTGCCAACCCAATAGTGATGTTCACTGTTGCTTTTGTGCAAAGAATGGAACTGAATTCTCCTACACAAGAAAAGATATAAAATCCTATCCCACCCTTCAGGAAAGGGCAGCTTCCAGGGTTTATTCGTATGGAAAGCTAGCCAAGTAACTCTTAGATACAAGCAGTCTTGATTCACTGCTTTGTAAAACACAGGTTAATTTTTTTTTTTTATTGAGCAGATGCAAGCGCATTGCTTGAACTCATACTAAAAAAAGGGGAAGCTTAAAGCTACCATATTTATCTTTAATTTCTTTCCCCCCAAATATAAATAGGGAAGTAATGCTATGCAATAAGGTGGAAAGGTCTTTTGGCCCCAGATGGCTGTTGCATGACCTATAATGAAACACCGGCTTGAAATCACGGACTAAAAAAGTACTATTAGGAATAAAACCCACCGCTTTCAGCTTTCATTATCTTCTCTTCCTTATTTAATGTAGCAGGTTGCATTTCAAACAAGATTAACCTACAGTATATCTGATAGGCAGTGTATAGTAGGCAATTGCGATTCCCCCCTCTTTTTTTCTTTGCAAATAAAAACAAACGAGATCCCCGATCTTCTTCAATAGAGAAAACACTGTCTATTGAGTCCTGGTGGAAATAAATGAATATATAATAAATATTTAAAAATTAATAAAATAATAATAATAAATGAAGTAACCTGTATCTTCTATTCAAAGGGAGATAGAGATGAGTGTATCTTATTTCTCAAAGAGGAACAAAACAAGTTTTTTTCACAGAAACACTCTGCCTACAGCTTGGACTCAAATAACACATCAAGTTAAATAACTGAAGCACTGAAGCAGCGTCACCATAAAATCAAACAAAAGTCCACAGTCCCATATAGGAGTTTTGTCTCAACCTAACATTGTTTAAGTAATTTAGGATTGAAATTCCTAGAACAACAGATCATTTGGAGCTAATAGGATTTTGGGAATTTGGAGGGTATACTAGGTTAGGAATGGCAGGCCTTACAAGCTGGGATATTATACAAAAAAAAATCAACAGGAGTTTTCACTACATAGATATAATTTAGATTAGACAACATCACCACATTTAAGAGTACATACTTATATATGTCCATTCAAAAGTAAATTTTATAAATACCATGAATTCTAGGTAGGTAGGTATATACTGGTTTCTAAAACTGTATTCACATTGTTTCCATGTCTGGAAATATACCTGTTTCCTTGAATGCATTCTATGTTAGCTTCAGATGTTGGCATGAGAGCAATGTGGAGCCTTCTAATTTTATGTACTCTGTCACGTTGACCTTTGGTAACTTCATGCTTTCTAGTTGACTTGTTCTACAATTATCAACCATAGGTATCAACAATCAAGCCCAGACAGCTTATCCACCAATAGTGAAGGTAGTCGGAGATTTTAGGAGTTAAAATCCATCAAGTATATACAGCATGAGGTCGGGGAAGAAAATATCACATGATAAGAAAGAGGCAAATCCACATGGGACTGAGTAATGAATCTCTAAATGACTATTTAATACTATCACTACATATGGAAATTCTTTCAAATGCTTTAGATCTGCCTTTTGATGTTTTTTTCTTCTTTCATTCGATGGTGTCTGAAGTTTTCTTAGCAAGATTTTTCAAAAGTGATTTCCATTGCCTGATTCTTAAGGCTAAGATAACAGGACCAGCCAAAGGTGATTTTACCCAAGGCAGGATTCACAAACTCTCCAGTTTCTAACCAGGTTGGAAACTGGCTCTCATTTTTATCTCTATCTGCTTTTTAATACATCTCATAGTGACCCAGTCTGCACGATTTCTAATTTATACCTCTAGTTTGCAAATAACATAATATTAGTGGTAAGCTTGGCAAAGGTATTTTGCTAGAAAATTAACTAGCATGGATTGGATGTGTTTTTGAATAGATAAAGCTGCTATTTATGCATTTATGCTCTCCTTTCTTCTTCTTATTGTTCCTAGATGTGCAAAAATTGCTTCCGGTATTTTGAAAATAAAGAGAAATGGGGGTGGGAAGCAAACAATTGAGCATGCTTACAGGCAATTATCTCAAAAGCCCACTCTGTCCTTCCCCCCCATAAAACTCCCCAAAAGCAAAGACATAAACACAAAAAAATCCTCAACTTACCAAAGAGAGTCTTTTGGGTCATTGTACACCCTAAAATGACCACTACAAAATTCCCTCTTTCAAAAGGCAGCCTTTGGAGTTGCATAGTCCTTTCTTCTAACATTCGGCTCTTTTTCTGCAAGCTGCTTGATGTCAGCAGTGATTATATGCGGGATTAAGGTTTTTGCTCTTTATGCCTCCCTGAACCTGGGCAATGCAGAGATTTACAACTAGGAAGAATGCCTGCTTCGTCAGAAGGGAATTGATGCCCACCATCTGTCCATGGGACAAATTGTTATAAAACCGCTGTCATAAATTTGTTAAAAATTAGCAAATCGATGGAATACATTTTACAAAATAACAGCTTGTTGCTTTCAACATCAATATCAGCATGCTAAAGAAACTGATAGCCACTGTAGATTTTACCCCCTGAAATAAGTTAGCACTCTGTATATTTCAGTAATGTTTTTAATGCACGGTGTATTATTTATTTATATGCTAAAACATTTGTATTTTGCCAATTCAGTACAGGCTTTTAACAGTTCACATAAATTTACAACAATAATAACAAAACTTAAAAATGTTTGATACCGATATATTAAAGTTGTAATAAAAATTATCCATCCTCCCTCCCCAGCAGCTAACTCAGCAATATTAAAAACTAAAAGCTCTTCAAAACAATTCAGTCTTTACTACCTTCCTAAAAAGCATCATAGAGGATGCCATCCAAATAAAAGTGGTCTTTTCCACTGTGACGGAGCATATAGTGAAAACAGTTTTCTGCTCTCCATCCCTCAATATTGTACAGGGGGGAACCTTTAGAATCTCTCATGGGAAGGTGGCATCACTCAATACAGTCCTATAATTTTTAGATGCCACTGTATATTAGATTTTATTAATGATTATATAGTGTTTGAATGATACTTGGAGGCCCATTGGCCTGCATCCAGTACCTGCAACATTAATGTTAGATATTCAGGCAGAACATGGCTGTTGGAATCTGAGTCAATTGCAACTTCTTAGTAGTAACCAAAAGTCACCAAAAGCAGACATACATAAAATAGCAGTCTGGGATAATGTAAATCTGTTGCCAGGGCTTCCTTCTGGCAACTAGCACATTAACCAAAACTGGACAACCTTGCCAGTATTGACTGCCATTTGTCCATCTTGTAGCAGATGTGTGTCCAGAGCAGTGGTTTGCAACCTTTTTTTGACTATGACTCACCTAAGCATCTCTAAAATCCTGATGGCCTCCTCCCCCCATGACATATAATTCTTACTTTACTCAAAAAGTGAACTCTACTCACAAAAAGGAAACCTAAAAGGCCATTAACTTGGTTTAAACAAGGTTCAAATTGCCCCCATTAAAAATCAAATTGCCCCCCTCTGGGGCAAGGGTTCTCATGTTGGGAACTACTGGTTCAACTTTCTCCTTCAGAGGGAATAGCACCCTATCTAGAGTGATAACTGGAGTCAATCAAGAATCTGATGAATCCTGATAAACAATATCAGAATTTAAGTTCAGCTTATTTCCTCCCTCCTCCTCAATCCCTTACTGCTTCCAGACCCTGAATCATGACATCAATAGTCTCTTCTGGCCCATACTTGGATATCAGATGTTGTCATCTCAAGCTCCCTCATATAGATATTAAACAGTAGGGATGGGGATATGACTGAAAAGCATTCTTCTCCTCATATCATTGATTGAAATATCATGTCTATAGGAATGAAATTGCTGAAACAAGTGTCCAACTCCTGATCTAGCCTCTTATCCCGGAGGATACCAGAAGAATAATTAAATAGTTACATTGGGGCTAGCTGAAGTGGCAGTAGGCTGATTATTCATATATTGTATAGAGATAAGAATCATTTTCCATGGCTGTGTTGAATTTTCTCTTCTTGTGCTCTTTGCCCAGTCTCCACAATTCATAGGTAGACGCCAGAGTCTTATTGAAGATGCCAGAAAGGAGAGAGAAGCTGCTGCAGCTGCTGCATCTGAAGCTGCTGAACTGACTGAGACCATTGTCTTTGATGAGAAGGATGGGATAGCCGTGTTGAATCTTCTGTTCACACTTAAAGGAGGGAAGACTTCACTGCCATCTCGTGCACTTAAAATCTTTGAGGTGAGGAGGCGGGGTTGACTTTTATGCTCAGATGGGGTAGACAAATGTTTGCAATTAGTCAGGAGACACAATGGTCATATGAAACACTTTGAAGATATAGAAATTGGCAGGGATAGGGCCAGTGGTGGGTTTCAAATTTTTTTAGAACCTCTTCTGTAGGGGTGGCCTGCTTTGTGGGAGTGGCTTGCCGGCTATGTGACTGGGTGGGAGTGGCTTGCCG